CACAAAACACAAACCCATAATTTAAAATACATAAGAACAGGGGGTTTTCAATGTCTGATGTAAACCCCTTAATTTACTTGCTTAGTTTTGCAGAGAAAGACGGTGGAGCCAATGGCTCCGTGTGGAGCTAGCTAGTTTGCTTAGCTAGGTGCATATCAGCATATCATTTTGTCTAGCGAACAACAGACTTAAAACTAAATGTACTCACCAGAGAAAGTGAACAGCCAACTCCTAATACTCTTTTTCAACGGCGCTGGTTAAATTTACACAGTGCCATGGGAGCCACTCTAGCCTTATTGACAGGTTATCATGGTAACGACTTGTCAATCACATAAAATGCAGTGATTTTGTGATTATTTCTGCTACATGTTGCTCCAACACACTTTGGGAAACATGCAGCACCTTGGCTGTGCATTTCCCATAAACACCATCCCCACATTTATAGAATTATGCCTTCACCATGCAGGTCGTTCACCTGTGCTCCCGCATGTGTGAAGGGCACGTCCACACGCAACGGCTATTTTGATGTCGTCCACTCGCCATTGTTGTAGATATTATAGCCAAGTTATATTCAAAAGCTTGAATTTAAATGTAGCATACAAATTAGAAAAACAACTGACTATTGTAGTGTTTGATAGGCGATGATAATAGCTTAATAATGGAGGCTAGTTGTTATTGTTGTGCTTTTTCTTTTGGACTCCATTGGGCATCCAGTGAATTACAAAGTTAGAAAATTTTAAAGGTCCAAACAAAAGTATTCATTCAAAAGAAACAATTATACAATATATACAATTATATATCAAGTAGATTTTTCCCAAGGAAAAATGTATAATCACTTTTACTAAAATAATACACAGTGTTGGAAAACTATATATCCTCTGCAGGTCAAAAAGTGCATGAAGGAGCAACACACTCTCTTGAAGGGATCGCAAAACACACTTCTATCACAGTGAAAAACTAGGCTACTGCACAATTAGTTTGATGATCATAGCCTACCCAAAAGCCATAGGCCCTAAGATGCAGAATAAACTCAGGACACATTGCTTAGCCCCCACCGTCAGACTCTCCTTCACTCACTGCGCTGACCAATGCCTGTAGTGGAAAAGGCGTTGCCACTAGCAACATAGAATATTTATCTAAACGTGCGAAATGAACAGCGCGAAAATTACTGTATTCTCTGTAGGGGTAAATTTTACCCGCTGGCACTTATAGGTATAAATGCCCATTTTTTAAATCTGGCTTTATTTTAATATTTTTAACAATTGGGGTTGCTACATAACACACTTTTAGAAAAAATGTCAAAGACTGGGGGACTTGACTATTGTGTTGAAAAAAATCGATTACATACAATCGAAAACCAGCCGCGGGTAAATTTGACCCTTTGGTTGATCTAGTGTTAAAGGGACTTCTGCTTTGGCCTCGCTTCTCAGACCGGAAGCTTCCCACTTGTTCTACGCCAAATACATAAAAACTTTAGTTACTCTGGGAAAGTGGGAAAGACAGTAAACTTCCCCTAAACTACTGTATCTTTGAACACTCTGTTCAGCCAAATCACACACTTATAGGTTATTCTATGTGATCTCCTTTTGATAAATAATGTCATATCTAACTTCAGTGTGCCGTTTATATACAGAAACTTAACAACATGACCGTGATAAACTTCCTCTTGAGATTTTCAACACCATCTACATTGAGTCATCAAAATATTTTTTAAAAAGGCAGCATTATGAACCTAAAAGCATATACAGACCCATTTATTTCATGTAGTGTGTACTTCAGTACTAGGTTCCAGTCTTTCAGTGTTGATGAAAGGAGACTTTTCGTAATGGAAAATTTTGTTATTGTAATGAGCTGACATTAAGTAGGCAGTTGGTATTTAGATTGAAGCGTTAAACTGTGTACCTGAGGTTGTTAAGCTGCTGCCAGACACTATTTGGGCTTTCAATTCACTAGAAACCGGAGCGATTTGAATCATTTATAGGGCCGACCTTCACAATAAACCTAAACGGAGCAAATCCTCAGCGAGCAAAAGCCGAGCACACTGCTGGAGACAGTTAGTGTTTAAATTCCAAATTTAACAGAAAAATCCTCCTGGCAGAAGATCTGACGATGTGTGACAGATAAACAGATGGAGTATTTGGATGCTGATGGTGTTTTGTGATGCTGTGTTTTACCTGTAAACGCTGAAGAGATGGGGCCCTGATGAAAAGCAACATGTATTGTTCCACTGAAGAGTCAGTGAGTCACTGGCATGTGTCAATGGACCAACGAGTGTGTAAATCACACGAGCTAGAATCAGTTAAATGCATATTAACCCTCTGTGCATTTGTGTATTGATCCCGCTTTGGATGACAATGGAGGATGAATGGTGTTTGTTCACCATCCTATCAGCTTTTTAAGGACTGATTTCGACCTGAGCAACAGCTGCTCCACCGCTCAATTAAATACATGAAATGTGTCTAGCTTGTATTTGGGTGGAATCGACTTCCCCATGAAGGAGCCTCAAAACAACAGACAGTCCCATTAATAATAATATACTAATAATCTTTATTTGTAGAGCACTTTTCCAAAACAAGTTACAAAGTGCTTCAACAAGTGCAAAGACAACAATACAAGCAAGAAAACATTGAAAAGACCAAAATACACGTTTAAGATAAATATAAAATAAGTAAAATAGAATAAAATAAAAGGGATAAAATAAAGTCAAATAAGATCGAGAAAGGCTCTCCTATAAAAGTATGTTTTAAGAAGGGACTTAAGAGTTCACTGACTCAGCCGACCTGATTTCCTCGGGCAGGCTGTTCCAGAGCCTCGGGGCCCTGACAGCAAACGCTCTGTCCCCTTTAGTTTTCAATCGAGACTGAAAGGTCAGAAATATAACAAGGCGAGAGGCCATGAAGAGCTTTAAAAGTGATCAATAGAATTTTAAAGTCAATTCTAAAACACACTGGGAGCCAGTGTAATGAAGCTAAAATAGGAGTAATGTGGTCATATTTCTTTGTTCTGGTTAAAAGCCTGGCAGCTGAGTTCTGGACAGTCTGGAGTCGATAAATAGATTTTTGGGTTAAACAGGTGAAAAGGCTGTTGCAATAATCCAGGCGTGATGAGATGAAGGCGTGTAAAATGGTCTCGGTGTCCTTAAAAGTTAACACAGATCGAATTTTTGCTATATTTCAAAGTTTATAAAAACGTGATTGAACAAGCTTTGTGGTGTGCTGCTCGAAATTTTAATTACTATCAAACCAAACACCAAGGTTCTTTGCCACAGGCTTAATGTGATTTACTAGGGAACCAGCAGATGGCAGTATTCTGCTGGGACCCGATGACCAGGATTTCTGTTTTGTCTGAGTTCAGCTGGAGGAATTTATTTGACATCCATTTTTTAACTTCACAAAGGCAGTTGTTAAGTGAACTCAGCATTCCAGGATCTGTGGATCTGACGTATAAGTATATTTGTGTGTCATCAGTATAAATATGAAAAGAAATACCATGTTTATGGATAATGTATCCAAGGTGAAGCAGATACAAGGAAAACAAAATGGGTCCTAAGACCGACCCCTGAGGCACACCATATTTAACTGGACAGAACGCAGAGACATAGTTGTTTACAGACACGCAAAAAAACAGTTATGTAGGGATTGTTTGTAGATCCCCCACACTTCCTCTCGGTGTGTTGTGTCTTGAAGATTAGGAAGGAAGAAATCTTGAGAAGGCATTGTAAACTTATCATATGACATAAGTCTTTCTTTATAATACCGGTAGATAATAAAGTATCACATTAGTGACGTTGTGAATTCCTTAACGAACTCTCAACGCTTTTCTCAGTTTAAAAGAATGGGATCCAAAGTTCAACCGACCAATCAACCGACACTCCAGGCCAGAAAACCAGAGTAAATTAAAGTCTGTTTATTTATATAGCACATTTAGAAACAACGCAAGTTTACCAAAGTGCTTTTACTGAGGCGAATTGTCTGAACATGTATTATAATATATACAATAATAATGTCTGTGTTTTATTTAAAAATCCCTAATCCTCACATCCTCATGTCAGGTTAGTTGCATGTACCTTGATGTTTATCTTACACCATAATGACTCTATTCCTGGAAGTTGAAGCGATTGCAGACTGAGCTGAGATTCAGCTGTTTTAGCCTCCTTTCCTTTTTCCTTCCTGCAGTAAGGAACTGAGTCGACTATTAGATTTGATTTTTAAATTATTTATTTAGTCTATAAAATGTAGTGAAAGCACAACATTCTTCCCAGGGCCCAGGTGGTGTCTTAAAATAGCTTGTTTTGTTCAAACCAAAGTCCAAAACCCAAAGATAATAAATTTTACGATTAACAGAAGAAAGCAGCAAATCCTCACATTTGAGATGCTGGAAACTTAGCATGTTTTGTAATTTACTTAATAAATTAATAAAAAAAAAAAAGATATTAAATAATTTCTATATCGATTGATATACTAATTTTTTTGCACAGTTTATCAGGATATAGAGTTTTCATGTAACCTTGTCTTTGCAACTAGAAAGGTGTGCAGACTAAGGGTAAGATATCTTTTAGCTTGAATCTGAGAACAGTGCAGCCAGAGATAAAAGGCAGCTCCAGAGGAGGTGCATCTGTACAGGACACTGTAGCTCCAGCTTTAGTGCGTGTGTGTATACAGAGGCAGAACTTCAAACCACAGTGTGTGTGTGTGTGTGTGTGTGTGGGGGGGGGGGGGGGGGGGGGGTCTCTGTCTGCATCTTCACATTTACCTCTCACGTGAAAGCGGCAGGGGTTTCCTGCAGCGTGCCGGGCCATGTGACGGACACATGCAGGCGCCGTGTGCTGCGCTGAGCTGCAAACAGGAGCTTGTCACGGCATGAACCTACCAGCCTCTCATCCTTCCCTCCCCTCCCCTCACTCACTCTCACTTTCACCCTCCCCTCCCTTCTCTCCCTTTAACACCCTCTACTTCCCATCCAGTCTTCCTCTCCCTCCCTGGCCGGGCTCAGCTCCGACATAGCCCGGACTCGGAGCCAAGGCACAGGCTGTACCCTGCAGAGATCACATGGACTCTGGTGTGCTTTTGTCACGTGCACGCAATGTTTTTCCAGCTCGCACAGTCTCGTCTAACCAGCCACTCCACCACCACTAACACCACCCACAACAACCACAATCCCTCTGTGCCTGCACTCTGCGTGCGAGCAATACAGCACGCGGCTTAAAACCTTGTTATCGCATCCAACGAACAAATATAAGCGGCTTTCAGTATTTTCTCTATATCTGACTTGCCTGCAGATGTTGAGAGTCTTTGTCAGGGTTGCTTCAGGAGTTGGACACCTGCGTGCTGTTGGCAGGGTCCAAAGGGAAGTCAGATATAGGAGGGGTCAAAGGGTGTGTTGGGGTGCATTCCAGTGTGTTAGTCGAGGAAGGAGAGCTCAGTGAGAAACATAAATCAACACATTCGAGGAGCTAAATGTGGAGTTCACATATTTATGTAGAAATAATTTAGTGTGTCAGAGAAGGCTGTCAAGGCTGCAATCAGTCAATATTTATCAGTGTGCTTTTAAGTCCTGCACTGCATATCTTATTTTATTTTATCTTTCCCATTGTTGTAGTTGTAATTTCCTCTAGCCTGGTTTCTTGCAAGCCAAGCTTCCCTCTCATATATCTGGTCATGTGTCCTGTGGACAGGATCAGCAGCTCCTGCATGAGTGACCTGGAGGATTGAAGTCCTCTTGATTTGCATGTCTTGGTTTTTAGCAAACTTTACTCAAACAGCAGGAAATAACGTGCATTTGGTGGGGACTATTTTCAGTTGTGTTTTAATGCACAATCTTAAATCTAAGCAATATAATAGTTAATATTTAGTCAAAATAATCTATAGTGTGTGTTCATGATAATAAAGGAACATGTCACTCAGTGCAATAGTGTGGCTCAATGATGTGTTTTTAAAAGTTTTGTGGACAACACTGGAGCTGTATGGTACAGAGGAAGAAGCTGCACACACAGCACGTCATGTGAACCAGTTCCAGTCATCTTTTTGCCCTTTAGCCCCAAAGTGCAGTCTTTGAGGGAAAGAACTGGCTGTGGTCCCGTGTTACACCCAGGTCAGAGTTCAGCAGCTCTGTCCCTGCACACAGAGACAACCAGCAGCTCCGCTTATCACGAACTGCAGCACTATCACCCACAGAGCTGCATGATAACACTCTGATATGATCACCTAGCGTGACACCGACCTGCAACCTTCACATCTAATGAAAGCAATTTCTGCAGGTATTTAATCAAGAGTTCCAGCTTTCACACGGCTCTTTGTAGGTTAGCTCTGCGCTACCTTTCTTCGCTAATTTTAGATTTCCTGTTCAGGAGGGTGGAGGAGGACATGGGGCGGCGGGGCTATTTTGTGAATTCACGTTCGTCTGTTCCCTCTCAGCTGGAGTGTGTCGTACTTTAGTTTAAGGCCATTATAGGCCAATGAATGGGCTTGTACGTCTACTTTTAGCCCATGACCAAGCCACTGTGTTTTAACTCTGCTAATTAGGAGATCAAAATGACTCCCAAAGGTGATTAGATCAAGGTGGCTATTTGCAGGTTTGAGTGCAGGCCTGATAGATTGTCTAAGACAGCGTCTTAGTTAGTAAGTAGCTTGCTGTGCTCAGCTTATGAATGGTGGGAGGTTAAGTTGGGCGATATGTGTCTTAGCTTATGAAAAGGAGTTGTGTGATGATCTTAAGGTCAGAAATTCTAAGAGCTGCTGGCAGAGAAAACATTGTGTTTTAAGATTAGCAACAAGTTTGATAACCTGTTAGTTATTTCAATAATTATTCAAGCAAAAATGCCAAATATTCCCTGCTGGTAAAGGTGTCGAATTGCATCGTTTCTCTGTTTTATATCATTACATTTTTATCTTTTAGACTGTTAGTCCAGTAAAACAAGCTATGTAAAGACGTCACCTTGGGATCTGGAAACTTGTGATGGATGTTTTTCACTATTTTCTGACATTTTACAGACCAACCAATTCATTAACCAACACATCTAGAAAAACTATAATAAAAATAATACTTCCACATAGCGCCTTTCGGACCAGTGCCTTACACCACAACACATTCCCATTTACACACTGACGAGCAGCAGCTAAGGTGCTCATCAGAAACAGAAATTAACACATTCAGAAATGACAACAGTTAGAACGAATAATTTTGGACAGTCAAATTTTCCTATATCAACATTTTAAAGAAAGTCATTTTGGTGTTGTATTTCCAAGCATACCCGTCCCTACTTGTGTGTAGTGAACTGCAACATCAACCATCTGTAGAAGGCATGCATGTGAAACGTGTCTTTTCTGAGAAAGTTGTTGTTTTCACTGGGGTATTTTTCCACATTTATGCTCAGTTTTATGAGGTGATAATAAGCAGTTTTTAACAGCCCTACATATTTTTATTTTTTTTAAAACAAAACACTTTTGTTTTCCTTGTTGTAAACAGAGAAATCTCAGGCAGCGTGGCCCTCAGTTGAGGTTTTGTGTCTTTGTGATGTGACTTTAATCTGAGCAGGATTGAAGTGATCACAGTGATCAGTGTCCAGATGTACCGGCTGAGTACTGACTGAGCACAGACGCCCTGTACGTACACAGAGAGCAGTCAGAGCCAAATCTTATGGCCCCTTCTCAAATCTCCGCCGCACCCGAAAGCAGTTTGGCCGTGTACACCCCTGACTGAAGGTCAGCGGCCTTGACTATCTGTCACTGCAAGTTCACAAATACGAAATGTAGGTCATGATGTACGAGCTGGCAGCACATCAGCAGCTAATTAAAATGCCTGCTGCACTTTGCTGCTTTCAGTCAGATTCCCAGTTGTTGTGTTGCTCGTCGAGCTTTTCTTATCAAGTGGGAAATGCAGGTGTGGTTTGAATGACAAAACAAATTAGTGCTAGTGTAATGAGTCTCAGAGAAATTGTTCCAGGTGGGCCGGCTGATGAACTGAGTCACCCTCCGCTGGTCGCCTGCAGCTTCAAATCAAGTGGAGAAGCTTAGTTTGCACAACAGGCAGAGAAATGTGAGGAGCAGATCCCCTCCAGACAGTTGAAAGACAAAACCTGGTGGTTTCAGATCAGCTGACGGGGACTGCTGATAGCTGCAGAGTTTAAGATGAAACAGTGAAATGATTTCTCAGGGTGCAGCGTTTTTAAAGCTTATGTGATAGCACCATCTGCTGGTCAGGTTACGCAAATACTTTTCTATACAAATGAAACTGTTCTTTTTCTAGAAATGAAGTCACCTGTTCTCTTGCTTTACATCTGCACCGACACTGAGACTCTGTCAAAGCCTGACATTTCTTAATGGCCTTGAACACAAACATGTGAGCTCAGAGGGAAGAAAGGCAGCATTCAGCTCCCCCTCAGTTCGAGAGGCTCCTACTGTGTCCTCTGTCCAGCTGTAAGAGCTCCACAGAAAAGATCTGCTGATGAAGACTCACTCATAATGTTGCGTTACCAGTAACTAGGGCTGGAACAATTAGTCGACGTAATCGACGACGTTGATTATAAAAATTATTTAAAAAGCAAGCGCCGTTTCAAAGATGCCGTTTAAGGGACAGATCTTCTCATTCAGAACATTTCTGGTTGTTCATTTCTAACAGCAATGCGCTACAGGTAGTGCTGGGGGTAGTATCGCTTGCATTGTCTGGCATGACTGCTTGACTGTAAGACTACTCACAAAAAAGAAGCTTTCATGCGAAAAGTGGAAAGCAACAGAGAAAGAGGCCAACAGCAGAACGGTTTTGTTGTTTTTTTTACAAATTCTGTACACCATTTCATCTATAAATACACTTTTGACAGGTTTTGAGACGAGAAATCAACTGTGTAGAACTTGAATATTGGCAGTTTTACGAAAGTTGATGGCGAATCGAAAATGTGCTGAAACCATAGACTGTATATAAAAAGGCTCAAACGCTCTCTGGTCCCTGTTACTCAGACCACTGCAGCAGTCAAACAAAGCGGGAAGCTTCCGGTCAGCAAACTAACGAGGAAGTCCCTTAAACCTGCATTCTGTTGAACGGCCAGCAGGGGGCGACTCTTCTGGTTGCAAAAAGAAGTCCGGCTCCATTAGAAATTATGGTAAAATGAACCTACTTCTTAGCTGAATAATTACCTCTGTAAACACTTTCCTGATGAGTTTATGGTCTCAATCGCTAGTTTCATGTCTTCGTCAATACAACATGATATTTATTTAGTAAATCATGGTCCCATTTAAAGGAAATTGGACCATAAAGCAGAGAATGCTTAAGGGCCGGGATTATCTTTAGTTTTTAGACTGTTGTTCACTAGACAAAATTGTCAGTTCTGTTAAAATGAAAGTTAGGGTGAATTACAGATGCACCTAGCTAAGCAAGCTCGCTAGCTCCACACACGGCCGTTAGCTCCACCGTCTCGTCTCATCCAAATACGGTCGCGTCCGGTGCCGCTGGTTGCAAAAACTCAACATCACAGCGACCTATAGGTCAAACTCAAGGCTTCAAAACAGCAGTCCACAAACCAACGGGTGACGTCACGATGACTACGTCCACTTCTTATAAACTGTCTGAGTCAAACAGAGCAGCAGCGACAGAGGAAAGGCCACAACTGTAAGATAGTCTCAACGTTTGTACCACTGTTATTCTGTCCTTACTGATCTGAGTAATGGTTTAACATTTTAAAGTAAATCAAGAACCATGTGGCTCGTGATGTAGCCAACAGAAAATTCTCCACTTACAAAAGCTAAATAAACTACAGAAGTATTATGAAAGGGGGCTGTTGCTTTATTATTGTAAGTAGACATTACATTGTTAGTGTACAGTTGTGGTTACAGTATCTGCTTTTAATTTGCATTTATTTTCTATAGTTCCAAAGCAAAAATCCTTTGTTGAAAAGTTTTAAATTTTAAAGTTAAATCTCTTGGCAATAAATCAGATTGTCAGCTTATTGTTTCGCGTGATAAAGCCTGGCTGTTATCTTGGAGCAGCCTCTCTGTTGTTCTTTGCGTTCTTGTTTTTGAGGTCTCATGGATGATTCTGGCTAACTGAATGCTCTTTTAGTTGTGTTAGCAAATGAGTGCAATAGGAAATGGGTGAATTATAGGAGTATCCTACCCTGTCTTGTCTTCTTCCCTATTTTCCCCCTGGTGTTGATAGTATTGTTTATTCTGAATAGTAAACCTCGTTCACTTATTCACTCGAAAGATATTTAATTAGTTAAATGGTTTAATTATGGTTAGGGGGTGACAAAAATAATTGTGACTAGTAAACTAATCTAATGAATAATTAACAGATTAGTCGACTACGAAAATAGTCATTAGTTGCAGCCCTACCAGTTACCCTAAATGGAAGTGCCAGCTTGAACTTTAATGGTGCCATTTCTTCCATTAGAGTCACAATCAGAGGTACTTAGAGTTTGGTTCCCACTGGCTTCTCTCCTCTCCACTCTAAGTTTTCAGCACTCTGTACACCGTCGTTATGAGAAAACAGGATGACTCTGTGTGTTTGCTGGCAGCTAATGTGTGATATTTTTTCCTGTCCTCCTGCAGCATTGCCCTCAGCCCGGGACACCCCCAGCCCCATAGACCCAGAGTCCATCCAGGTGCCCCTGAGCTACGAGCCTGACCCGGCAGACCTGGCTCTGTCCAGTGTGCCCGGCCAGGAAATGTTCGACCCCAGGAAACGCAAATTCTCCGCAGAGGAGCTGAAGCCACAGCCCATGATCAAGAAAGCCCGCAAGGTTTTCATTCCCGAAGACCTAAAGGTAATAAAAACTGAATTGGCAGTTTTCAATACTCTATAAGCACATCGGTACAAAAAAACTCTGAACTTTACTGTAGGTCTCTATTTATGATGCATTAAAGAAAAAAAATACTCTGACCTTGTGCTTTATTATTTATGAACCAATGTTTTTTACTGGTGCTAATATTTTAAACGGAGAGCTTCCTGACCTTTTGACCCTGCCAGCAGCTAGCAAGAGGGCGGTATTAGTGATTTCTGATAAACATTGCTGTGTTCAGTGCTAACCCGTCTGCTCTGCTCTTCAGGATGATAAATACTGGGCCCGGCGCAGAAAGAACAACGTGGCAGCCAAGAGGTCACGGGACGCCCGGCGGCTGAAGGAGAACCAGATCGCCATCCGGGCCGGGTTTCTGGAGAAGGAGAACGCCGCTCTCCGCATAGAGGTAGCGGACATGAGGAAGGAGCTGGGCCGGTGCAAAAACATTCTGGCTAAATACGAGGCCCGACACGGGCCTCTGTGAGCCCCCCCAAAAAACCCAACCCACTCCCACTTCATTACCCCAACCCACCTTCCCTTAAGTTTGAAGGACTATGTGCCTCTTTTGGTGGCACTGCCCCCTCCTCCTCCACCTCCAACTCGTCCTCCTCCCGCAAACCTCCTGCCTCCCCCTCCCCTCCCCCCTTAACCAACACACACCTGTATGATTCAGGTATTATATCTGTCATTTTGACTTCTATCATAAGCTTCAATTTGTCTGTTCCTTCTTTTATTTTCTGTACACATTGTTCGACTAAATATATATACATAGATAAATATATGTATTTACACATGCATACTTCCCACTTTAATGTACTGTGAGGAGTTATGAGCCAACCCACCAGCTGAGTCCACCACAACCTTCCACTTTTGAGAAACAATGCCATGGTGTTTGTTGTTCACTTTCATACCGATTTTATACGTGACATCAGGACTGAAAACTGTTTCCTGTTTCCCTTCTTCTATGTCTTCTTCTTCTTCTGGTATTAACATGTGACGTGTCTGCTTATAACCCCCAAAACTTGTGTTTTTAATGCCCTCTAAACCGTTTGCTTGTCTCCCATTAGCAACGTTTAACCCCTTTTCTTGATGTACATGTTGTGTTACTGTTTTGCCTCCCAGCGCTCTAACTCATCTACCCCTCTGGCTTCAGTAACAGCGTTTTCGTTATTTTAAAACATAGCACATTTTTTGTGCAATGGTGGTGCAGAGTTGCCGTTTCAAAAATATATATTGTTTTAGTTTTTCTCCTTCATCCGGACACTGAGCAATAATTCCTATCCAGAACTAAACTAACATGACTACCTACATGTCCCTCACCCCTCCCTGCTCCTAGATCTCGCCCTTCTTTCCACCTCTCACTTTAGCTCACCTCAATTAACTAAGGGTAGCTAACCTCTGCACTAACGCGCGTCTCACAATCTGATCCGGTGCAACGGTTCCACTCGCTCAAAATTCCTCCGCCTCATATTTATCAACCTTTTATTTCTCAGATGGAAGATTGTTGTTTTTTTTAATATATATATATATATATATACATATATATGTATTCTGTTGATATAATTGTTAGTATTAATACTGCTCTTGACATTGTTGTCGTTTAGCCTCCTCCTTGTTTTCAGATTTAAGCATGATTTTCTTTCACTGAACGAAAAGCTGTTTGCAAATCTTTTTTTCTTTTTTTTTTTGCAAAGTTGTTGATAATTCTGTTTGCTTCTGTTTAACTTAGCATGATTAATATGAGTGCTTTTATTTTAGAAATGAATCCAGATGTCTGTAGTCTCTCATTGTAGCTCTACGTTTGCCCTCTTTTTAAAGATGGCTGTATGAATGTAAAAGATGTTGACAAAAAAAAGTTGGATGGTGTTGTCCAATACTGTGGTTAACCCAATCAATTTGTTTACTGCAGACCAAACGATTCACAACAGAGATGATATATTGGTTACAAGAGATATGTTTATATAAACCTATTCTATAAGTTGTTCTTTTTGTACAGTATTTTTCCTATACATTAATGAACTATGTATTTTAAAGGCACAACAGATCCAGAATATTATTAAAGAATACAAGTATATAACTCAAAGACAAATGCATATAGTGGTATTTTGATAATCTATATTAGCTAGGATGTGGTAGTTTTAGAGATTTGTGGATATTAAGCAGCACCCAAACCTCCAGGGCATTATTATTATCTTTATGAATATTATTATTATGATGACACTCCTGCTTATGTTGGTGCCACCTTTAACCATGCCATGTAAATCCCATTTAACTCTAAGGAAGCCAATGCTGAAAATGCAGTCCAAAAGAGAGAATGTACACTTGTGCCCTATTCAAAATCCATCAACTCAAACCCAACAAGAAAACACTTGTAACCTTCCGCCGACACTTCCGGACATTTAATAAGTCGTCGAGGCTTTCTTTTCTTTCAGTGGTGAATATTTTAACTTCTCAAGGCTTTTTGTAACCACACAGCTTGTTAGTTTGTTTCTTTTAGATCTTATTTGACGGGATGAAGTTACTATGAAGGAAGGGAAATCTATAGCTGGTTTTCTATTGCTGCTCTGTGTGTGTTTGTTTCCTTCCAATGCAGTTGTAGCGTGTCCCTGACCCTGAGTGATGGACACTGGAAAGCTTCATTTCTTTTGTGAAAGTGAAAGCTTGCAGTGGAGTCCCCCCCCCACCCCACCCCAAATGTTAGTTGTGCTGTAGTGTAGCGCTGCATGCTGCAAAATTTTTTGCCAGTCAGTCCAAGACTCGGATGCGACCGATTTATGTTTTTGAGGGCTGATATTGATGTTTCTGATAATTTGTATGGAAGTCCAGGGCTGTCGAATTAAAAATGAAATCATCCAAAGAAATAGTTTGACATTTGCTGACAGTTAATACCACTTTCATGTTTCATTAAGTATGAAAATACAATTAGCAACCATTTAGCTTAGCATAACACAAAGACTCAAATGGAGGGAATCAAAACCCACCTACCAGCACCTCTAAACTGTTGATATTACACTTTGGTTTGGTGTACAGTTTGGTTTTATGTATGTATATTTCCTGGATGGGTGCAATGGTGACAAATACTTTGGTCACGATATTTTTACACTTTTGTGTCTTTCTTGTACAAATTAAACAGACGGGATATAACATGAAAATTAAGTGCTGGTGAGTTCTGGCCACTTCCCCTATTTCCAGTCTTGTACCAAGCTAAGCTAACCAACTGCTGGCTGTAGCTTAGAGGACATGGGAGTATTGATTTTCTGATCTAACTGGGCAAAAAGAATCCCAAAATATGAAATTACCCCCTTTTTATACAATAGAAATGTCCTATTCTATTTGGATGTGTATAACATGTGATTGAAATTAACATTTTTATGTTACATTTTATGTTTCATCACCCAAACAGTAAATGAAATTATTCTTAATGAGTAAATAATTTTATTTGAATAGTGGCAGCCCTGGACTTCCATATTTTTGTGCCGACATCTTTATATTTTGAGGCATCAGTATTTGGTTCTTTTCAGGGTGGAAAAGATTTGAAAACATTACAACCCTAAACAAAACAATTAGAAAAGCCAATATCGGCCCAATAAAACATCTAAGGATATATAAGTCAAATCCCAGTCCAGGCTTGGTTGAACGTTATTGATCCGATCCATAGGTGTGTGCGACATAAAGTGATTATTTTCTAACCACAAACTAATTTCTTAGTATTTCTGCGCTTTAGAGGGAGTTTCCCTTCTTATCTGCAGAGACGCACTCGAGTATGAACAGGGTTCGAAGAGAAGAGTCAAGACTGGAACGATGCCTCCTGAATCTGGTTAGCATCTTTATATGAAATCATACAAATATAGGAAAAAGCCAATAATTAATCCATGTGTATCCCAAAATTACCTCACTGTCGAGTGATTTCACTACCTCACCCGGAAACGTTAACCATAATTCTGAGTCTATTCCAGTGCCTTGAATACACTGACTGTTCCCCAGTCTCTCAGCAATGTAAAGTTCTCATCACAGCACCAATCGGATATGTTCACATCTGCACTGAAGGGCTTCTTAGTGCGTCAAAAAATCTATATATATATACACTGACAACTCTTTTCATTTCTTATTTTGGACATTGCAACAGACTTGTAACCATTGTATTCATGGCAACACCAACAGACTGTTTCAGCGTGTATAAAAATACAACAGAAATGTGTATTCGGTCTTGTTTGTCATGGAATGGATGCATAACATTTATTTGTGCAGTTTGGCCCTTAGCCTCTCCGTTTCTCTGTAATTTGTAGTGTCTAATAAAATCCCAATTCTTTTCTGACATGTTTTCTTATTTCTTCTCTCACTCAAGCAGAATGGTTTTAAAATACTGATGGAAAAGCCATGTTTTTGTACAGCTGTTTTGTACAGGATAAATAGAAATCAGAAATCATTAAATTCTAGTAAAGGTATTTTTTAATGTTTTCACAGCAAATTTGTCCACCCTGAAATGTAAAAATCCAAAGGACTGAAAGAAAGACAGATGTGGGTGTCTTTCAGCAGTGAATGTTTTTAGCCCTTTGATGTGTGCAAGAAATTAAAGACCATTACTTAAAGTTAGACTTATTTTGGTTTAAAATGGGTTCTGTAGAAAAACCTTCAAGCAAATGAATCAAAGACACTATTACTTTCTCTGTACTGAAACACAGGCAGTATTGACACAGTATCAAACTTATATTCTTATGGGATACTGACTAAAATGCATCTCTAGCACAGAGTATTGAAGTGTCAAATACTTAAATTTGGTGGTGAACGCTTAGTCAGATTCATAGCAGTATTTAAAAAAATTCTATGATCAATATTTCCTGATTTTAATATTTGTTTTCCTAATTTAAGCACATTTCTTGTATGGCTGCCTTGTGTTAACACATTGTTAAATAGAAGACATTTTAAATATTCCTCAATAGTGTATCGTATTAGCAATGGTATCAAACACAAATTCACTCATCAGCGGGCAGTGCAACAGCCACCGTACATTTAATTAAAAGGTTCCCGTTTGTTTTTTGTCCCTGAAAGAAATTAATGTCTAATGAGAACTTGAAATTGAAAACAAGACTCCATACAAGCAGAATTCAAAAGGAAACCTACGAGTACTCATTATGAATGAGGCTTGTTGGGAGGCTGAGACGTGGGGTATTATTTTTATTGTCACATTAGAAAGGTGATACTCAGTATAGTGGAGGAGCATTCATGTATATGCAGCACCGTTAACAGCCAGTGGAACAGACAGGAAGCAGTTTTTATCTCTGCAAAGGCCAGGATCATGTAATGAACAGAACAAAGAGTAGAACATACAAACATTACAAAACAGAGTGGTTGAGGAAAACCATTTCAACAAGAGGAAAGCAACAGAAAAGTCATTTTATGAGCCATTGAGCAAATTTACAAAACCAACAGCATAAGACAAAAACATGAACATGTTAATTCTCCACTGATCAAACCCGCTTCAGAATACAGACAGGAAACACTGTCCGTCTAGTGGTGCAAATCAAAAACACAGAGAGAGAGAGAGAGTCAGTGGAAATGTAATACTGGACTACAGTACAAAGGTCGTGCATCCACACTCTACTGCACATTGTTCACATTAATAATAAAGTGGAAAAAATTCTATCTCATCATACTGCCTGTACTGATTTTCTCTCATCATTTGGCTCATTTACAAATTCCCTCCTCCCCTGTTACACCTCCACACACCATAAACTGCAGATAATTCCCTTTCTTACACCAGTCCACCTGCAGAGGGCGCTAAATACTTACAGAAAAGAAAGGTTCTCCTACGACTGCATTCAAATACTGGTCAGAAACATAGCATGCATTGGGGGGGGGTAGGAAAGAGTGAGAATCTGGATCAGAGGGGTTGAGGATGTAATCGTTGTAAAAGTAGAATAAAGAAAACGGGGAAACAAACTTCTGTCAAAAGCTTTTTCTTATCGTTTCATCCTACCTGATCGAAAAGTCCACCAACAGAGCACTGATCTGAACACTTCAAATCACTATTAAGCTACAAGGGGTAGAGGTATCGAAACCTCAATACTTTGTGGTACAGAGTATCAAAAGTTGGCATCAAATAGCTATTCATATTCATTCTCTACGGTACTTATTCTTTGACAGGATTCATGATTTAAATCTAATTTTGCCAATTTTACTCTGGCAAACTTCTTATACAGCTGCTTGTGAGATATTTGGTTTCTTTTAATAAATGAAAAAAAGTACTTTTGTAGAGAAACATGTTTATAATTCTGTATCAAAAAAAGTATAATTTTGGTTTTTGGTGCTGAAATGGTTTCAAGAAATTTCCCATCATACTGATTTTAAGAACCTCATTCAATCCCCAGTGTTCACATCACCAGCATGAATCGCCAGGTTCTGACGCACAAATGACCCCAATATGGAATGTGACTCACAAGCGATACAAAAGACGGTTATCAAAGGTCTCAAACACTCATTGATGTGCCAGGGTTATTGTAAAAAGTCAACCCCCCCCCTTGACTGAAGATGTACAAAACAGCTTTGAAAGTAGCTTCTGGTCGTCATAATGATGCTGAAAAACCTGTTCTCCACTTTAGAAAACCGTAAACAATTCATGGTCATTATTTTCGTAAACCTTGCGGCTGTGTTTGCAGCTTCAGTGGGCAGTTGAGAGAGTCTGTGTGCAGGCGGCCCTGCTCAGGAGCACAGGGTGCGGGTGGAGAACCGGCATCCGGCCCTGGCTGTGGTCACAACTTGAGGAGGGTATCGGCGCTGGGGGCCTTGTAGAGGTATTTCCAGATGGCGTAGTAGTGCACAGCCGCAGCCAGCGCCACGAAGACATGCCAGATGGCGTGGGCGAAGGGGATGACGCCATCACTCTTGAAGAAGAACACACCGAGGCAGTAGATGAATCCACCGCATGCCAGCTCCTGAAGCCCCTCAGTGTTGCTCTGCAGAAAACAAGACGCAAATGAGAAATGTTACATAAACAAAAACTGATTGACGCCGTCTTTCACTAAAATCTACTAATCAATCTACTGATACAGACCGTGGAATGAGTATGAGGTGTCTTCACATGGTAAAAAACTATGCACTTTTGAAGGTGTTCTTGACAAACACTGTCCAACAGAACGGAAAATTAGTATCTGATCACGTTGAAAATTCTCATAAAAAGTCTAAATTCTAATCTTGTTAGCAACTATTTTCTCCCATTTTGATATAGCGGTACGATTTGGCACACACAATACGGCATGTACAGAGAAATGTAAAATGAAAAGCATTGCAGGAACAAAAACAGAATATGCAAAATACAATGACAGACTTATTATGTGCATTTCTAGGGGTTAAGTGTCTTGCTCAGGGACACACTGGTGGATGTCACTGTGGGGAATTGAACCTGGGTCTCTCACACCAAAGGCATGTATCTTATCCACTGCACCATCAACACCCGCTTCTATGCAAGGTATCAAGTGAAGTACTCTATTGGTATCGGTATCACTTTAAGGGTACTGGTATCGTAAGATTTTAAATGATACCCAACCCTAGATAACAATATGTTTATTAATAAAAGCTCATTCTGCTTTGAACTCTCTGAAATTACTCTGCAGACCCCTTCAACAGGAAGAGGAAGTAAAACACACTCCTAACACCTCCACCCTGCTGCAGCAGCATGTGGGCTGCTGGTTGGAAGAAGTGACATGCAATAACTGACTGTGAATATATTAATAAATAATATATTACCATTGATGTTATCACTATTGCGGGGGCAAAACCCATCGTCAAGTAGAAGGCCAGCTCAACAACTTTATACCTGTAAAGACAAACCAACACAACACGTTCACTGACAACAAGGTCAAAGGGATGCCTCTTTAAGCACATTTCAGGCACGAGCACATGAGTGGGGAGTGTTACCGAACCTGAAGAGCAAACAAATCTGTTTAAAAAATACCAGACCTAGAGAGCAATGAATCTACAGTTCAAAAATACCCCCCACATAAGCAGTATATTAAAAGAATGTCAAGTAAAACAAAAAGTAGAATGAAATAATCTAAACAAGCAGGTGACAAAAACATGTCCGATGTTACTTGCAGAGCTGATATGATTTGCATTTAAATTCATCACATTCACATTTCATGTTTCACAAACTAACTCAGTTCATAAATTAAAATGTATCTTATCAAACGTGTAAAAATTTGTTTTGATGAGGCTTAATGACAAAAAATCTTAACGTTGCTGCCATTTTAGTGACTAGAGCTTTTATAGAGCCTAAATATTAACCAACTGACTTAAAGTTACACAGTTAAAGGTTAAAAAAATCTGACTACCTTCTTTCTGTACAGGCTAGTGCTTCATTCAATAATTTTTATCTCATAAAAACTTTTGAAATGGTTTTACATTTGGGGCATTATGACTTGTTTAGGACTCGAAACTCAAAGTTTAAGACTTGGACTTGACGGTCCTGGATTTGAGACTTTACTCGGACTTGCCAGGCATGATCGGTCTGGACTTGGGACTCGACTTGGGACTTGAGTGCTAAGACTTGAGACTTGACTCGGACTTGTAAAACGATGACTTGGTCCCACCTCTGCAATCTGCACAATTAAAAGACTGTGCCTCAGTAACGACGTCCAGGGGTGCTTCTGGCTAATTTTGTAAACAGTGTTCAGTTAGGATTGAGATCCAGGCTTGGTATAACATGCTTGTGATGAAAGGCCAGATACTTTACAACACCGATCTCAAACTGTGTGCTAAATGTCCTGAAGACTCTCGTCTTACATTACTGTAATTGTGTTACTTTTGAAGGCACGTTACTCCCAACACAGGCGATAAAATGAGAGTGTATTTAATTTATGGTTTTGTTTTCTTCCTGTAAAATTCCATGTGTTTATTAAACAGTGTTTTCATTTTAAGATCAAAGAAACTGGATCCACACAAGTTAGATAAGCAAAATCATGAAGACTGGTGAGTGTCTGTGTCTGCATACATGCAAAACACACACCCACACAGATATATGATTCATCAGACCATTTCCATCCCTTGTGACATGCACAAGGTCTTTTTCCCAGCAAAGTTCCCATGCAGGCCTATTCAAAGAGCTTTATGTTTGCAGGCAATAAAAAACTATCCCTTTACTTTCAACTGTGTGCGGATAAAGAATCAAAACAGACACTAAACAACAACAGAGAGAGGAGGGATTAGGGCTATTTCAGTTCAGCTCGAGCGAAGATGACGGAGGGTTATAACTGCTATAACTTGTTAGCCAACTTTATTAGCTAAAGCCTATTGCATTTTACACCATAAATTACCCCAGCC